TCAAATGCGTACACTCCGATTCTCAGCCATTCTTGATCACTGATCCTCGGCCGCCATGAACGCGTACACTCTGATTCTCGGCCATTCTCAATTGCCGATCCTCAGTCACTATGAACATGTATAGATCCTTCCGCCCTGAAGCTTCACTGTGTACATCACCAGATACATGTATAAATATTCACTTTAATCACTGATTCTCATATTTTCTCTTTCTTTTCCTTCTCTAATGTTTTTCTCTTTGTTATATAAGACCTATCAATATTATACTAATCTATTCAGTATAGGTCTCTTAAACTAGAAAAACATTCATTGTCTCCTTATTAGAAATGATTATTTATGCATTGTCTTCTCATTAGAAATGATTATTCATTGAGAGATATCTAAACATGTAATAACACATAAGAAAGAGAAACAGTTAAGCAGACACTGAGTTCTTAGATAGAAGCTTGCTTATCAGTCACTCTGACCCTGCAATAAGATTTTACAAGAGAATGTTAGTAAAAGACCTGAGAGTTCTGACACTCAGATATATGAGATATTCATACAATTACACTTCTTCAGATTTCATAGATATCACATATCTGATAAATGATATAATCATGTCTAATGATAATATGAGAGAACTCTCAAGTATGAGAATAGACATAATATCACAGTGGCTTTAAGCAATGTTAAAACTATAATAATAATAGATAGCTGACATGCATGTCACTCAACAGCTTCAATATGAAGAAATTCAATGATTAATTCATGCAACTTCAGCATCTATAAAAGCACTGAAAGAATGCTTAAATGTCTCTGTATATTTTAATGCTTCTGATCTCACTCTCTACTCATCATGAAGAATGAAAATGCTCATGAAACTGAGTGTGAATGAAGATGTCATCAGTTCACTAATCAATCAAGGTTAGTATATCAATAGACAATTGAAGAATCATGTGAAACAGAAGTTTCATCTATGAATAAAAGTATGTGAATCAGCATTACAAATGCCTGATAATATTATGAAATATCTTAATGTTCTGTTCTAAGACACTGTTATATAATAGAAGATGTTAGATTAATTACAGAGTATCTGACAGAGAAACATTTCTCTTACAACATTTATTCCTAACTTTGATACTAAGATCTTAGAAGCAGATGATCAATCTTGAGAGAATCAAATAAAGATTAGCATGCTCAAGAAGACATTAACTTTTGAACTCTTACAGGCTCTTATAAGTGTAAATAAAGACTCAACTTATGAAGACTTCTGCATACAGCTTCAGATATTGAATAATCATCTTATCAAGCTCAAGAGTATACAGAACAGTAATAGAACATGTTATATCTCATTCACTCATACATCTGCATTGAAGAATAACAATGATGCAGATGCTGTGAATTGAGTAGATTCCAAATGTCTATATATAAGCAAGAGTCTTCACTATCTGAACAGGCTTTCAAGTTTCTGAGATAACTTCTGAAGAAGTCATCAATCAATATTATTTAGAAGTATGTATTAACTGTAACTGATCAGAGTATATTGTTTTCAACTGTTAATCAGCCTATATATCTCCTTACTTAAGAGATGAATCAGTGCCTGTTCATGCCAATCACATTGCAGTGAAGGAAGATTCAGAAGATAACTATAAGAATGTCTCAATGAAACAGGGAAAAGATTAGCTCCTGTTCAAATTCACAAACAGAAGCTTGAAGAGATTGAATGATAACAATTTGAAGAGAAAATGACAATGAATGTGATTCTTGTATCTACTGTGATTGATAATATGTATAATATGAAAGTCATGATAGACAGCAGTCTCTGTTACTATGCAATAATAAAATCTTCAGTTATAAGATATTATAATCTTCAGCATATTCTCTTATCAAAACCCTGACTTCTCACAGAATTTGATGATTCAAAAGATCTTTGTACTCATTACATGGTGAAACTAAACATAGATATGAGAGAACATCAATAAGAAGATGTCTATGCATATGAAGTTGATAATCTTGATTATAATCTTATATTAGAACTTGCCTGACTATCTGAACAAGGCATCTTATTAAATGCATAAAACAGGAGCTTGATATTCTCTAACAATGATAGAATTCACAAAGATGATATTCATAAGACTATGAATCTTACACAGATCTCTGCCAACACTTATAAGATACTTTAAAAAAGAAGTTATCATCAAAATCACTGACAAGATAACTGATAGTGAAACTATGTATCAATCTATTTCATCAGTCAGACTAATATCAAAAAGACTCTAGAAAAGTTATCTTATATTATAATAACAGATTCTTGTACAAAACTTTCTCAATAATATCATGAATATCTAGATGTCTTTCAACAAGATAATAATATTACAAATCTATCTCTCTTATAAGATTCAGGAGTGAACCACAGTATCAAGTTGAAAAAGATAAATAACAAGAATTCTGAATCATCATAAGACTCTCTTTATAATATATTCTGAGATGAACTTCTTCTCCTTTGAAAGACACTCAATGATCTGTTAAATAAAGAATTCATACACATTAGTAACTCTTTCACTGCAGCCTCTATTCTCTTTGCAAAGAAATCAGATAAAGAACTCTGATTCTGTATGAATTATCAAGAATTGAACAGATTAATAAAGAAGGACTGTTATTCTTTATCTCTTATCAATGAAACTCTAGCTTACATCAGACAAGCTTAATAATTCACAAAGTGAGATATCATCATCATGTTTCATAAGATTTATATCACTGAAGAAGATGAGTGACTTACAGCATTTTAAACATAATATAATCTCTTTGAATGAGTAGTCACACTCTTTGAACTGGCTAACACTCTCAGTATATTTCAGAAGTATATCAACTGAGCACTTTAAGACTTTCTTGATAAATTCATACCTGTATATCTCAATGACATTCTCATCTTCACTGATGAATTCAGAAAAGAATATCAAGAACACATGTAACAGATATTACAATAACTACAGAAGGCAGGAGTGTCAATAGACATAGACAAGTGTGATTTTAAGGTTAAAAGTACAAAATATATAGGCTTTATCATAGAAGCTGACAAGAGAATCTGAATGAATTCTGAGAAGATCTCTGCTATTCATGAATGAGAGACTCTGCACACTGTGAAAGATGTATGAAGCTTCATCAGATTTACTAACTTCTATTAACAATTTATATGACACTTCTCAGATATTATGAGATCACTTACAGAACTCACTAAGAAAGACTCAGTATTTCAATAATCAGTAGACACTGAAGCTGCATTTATACAGATAAAGAAGATATTCATTAATATCTCTCTGCTAATAATATTTGATTCTGATCATGAGATAGTTATTGAAGCTGATTTCTCTGACTATATCATAGAAGAAGCTATATTGCAATATGATGATGAAGATGTCTTACAATCATATGTCTTTATATCTAAGAAACTGAGTCTCACTGAATGCAACTATGAGATCTATGATAAGAAACTTCTCATAATTATATACTGTCTAGAAGAATGAGACTCTGAACTCTGAAGTGTCTTCAAATTTGAGATAATCATAGATTATAAGAATCTTAAGCACTTTACAACTATCTGTAAACTCATCAAATAACAGATATGATAATCTGAGTTCTTAAGCTGCTTTCATTTTATAATATACTACTATTCTGACAGTCAGAACTTGATGATAGATACTCTCTCACAATGAGAGTAAGATATATTATCTAATGTAACAGATACTTATTAAATGAACTGAGAGTACCAGCTCTTGAATCTGAAGATATTAGTTAATCAAGATGAAACAGCTCATGACACTATATGTACTTCTTTAATTAGAACATTTCCTCTCTGAACTGTCACTGACACTGATACTGACACTGACACTGATATCTGAACTTCTCTCAAATCTATACTGAATAAATTATGACATGCAACAGCTTAAACTGATGAACTTCTTCAAGTACTCACTGAAGCAGTATATCAAGAAGCACTCTGATTCTCTCCAGAACTATGTATAAGAACTGACATCTCAGAATACTCAATTAATGATAATAACTGTAACATGGCGGAACCGAAGCGGTGGCTAGTTGGCGGCGTCACGTAGAGATAGTTGTTTGAAAAGCCATATAAGTGAGCTTGACTATCTTGCTTGAATAGTGAGCTCGTAGGCTACAGGGTTATTATGAGAATATCACAGATATGATACTTAGCATACTAAGAAGATTATATGAGACATGCAGTAACTCTTATATATATTTCAGTAGAAGAAAAAATGAATCACTGACTTCTTTTATAAGAAGCCAGTATCTAGCTATTCTATATAGATAATGAGTGAATACCCTCCTCTCATTTCATAAGCAAGAATAGTCAGAGTGATACCTCAGCAGCATCTTACTGTTAAGGAAAAGTAATCTGCTGATCTTGTATAGAAGCAGGATTCTTATATTCATTAATCAGATCTTTCTATGATATATCTGAATAATGTCATAGAGTGATTGAAAACTGGTTCAGATAGAATGAAATCATCTGTATGAAAGTAATAAGCTATGTGAAACTGTAATAAGGTCTTGATACAGTCAGAAGCATGACAGTACTCTCTTCTTTAAGAGTATAGTTTCTATGCTCTTAAGATTACTGAATTAGAAGTTATCTTTGTTATATAGCAATAGTTATCAACTGATTGACAGTGTATGTGCTATATATAATATAAAGAAATGAGTGAGTTTTTCTGCTGACTGTATAGGTCTTTCTTTTCTCATCTTTATTCAAATCAAATATATAGTAAGAGGGTTTCTTATATATTGATTTAAAATGTGAAAAATATAGTTAATAAGTGACTTACAGATCTCTCAATATATTCTGTTCTATATATGAAATTCTCTGCAAAAGTGATGTATTTTTAGAGATAAAGCTAACAGTAGTGACAGGATTTTTTAAAAAGATCTCTCTCTCTGTGAAATATTTTTCTTTTCTCTTTCTCAACTGTAACAGTGAGTGTATGAGAGTATCATTCTTAAAGGACAATAAGAGGCTTATTCTGATATTTTCTAGTGAATAATAAATGTCTTTGTGATGCAGTTGCGGCCTTCATAACCATTAAGAAAGCCAGGTTGAAGATGGAGATAACAGTGTCACTGAGCTGTGAAAGCACTACTTTCATTATTATATCTTCTTCTTCTTCTTCTCCTGCTTCTCTTGCAGCTGCAGCAGTAGTCATCATACTCCGTAGTAAAGTGTCATTTCTTCTGCTAATCAGTTCATCTGTGTTCAGTTCTTTCTCTGTCCTCTTCACTGCCATTGTGACGCCGCCCTCTCTCTCAGTCAACACAGTGATGTATGATCCCATGTGATCATTCAGAGAGGAACTCAGAGAGAGCTTGATTTCAGAGACAGTGACTCTGAGAAGCTTAATCTGTAGTTTCTCTCTTATAGCATATCTGAGCCCTGCTTGAAATACTGCTGAGTTGAGTCTGCAGAATTCTGTGATTTCTTTGTCTTCTCTCTGTGAGAAGGCTTCAGTATGACTTCTGATCAGCACTGCTACTTGTCTGCACTGCATCAAACAGCTGAAGAAGAAGAAGATTTTATATATTCACTTCTTCTTTTACTTCTGTTATTTCTGTTATATCTATAATAACAACTTCTGTCTCTCTGTAAGTATTATCTCACAGAAAGACATTATATCAGCTCTAACAAGAAGCCTAGATATCTAAGTAGTACAGAGTGAGAATCTCAGAGCTTTAAGTATTAACAGATTTCATCAAGACTGAAGAGATCTCTCTTGCTTATCTGTAAAAGAAGATGAAAGTGTGAATCTCTGAGATGAAAAAATATCTCAGAATGACTAATCTCAAGAAGAGATCAGCTGATACTGCTATTGAAAGTATCACAGAGATTAATTACTGATTAAAGAGAATCTCACTTCAATGGAAGTAGATGACTGAGATGCTTTATAAATTTATAAATTAATACTTTAAGCATTTCTCATGCTCTTCTACAGCATGCTTCTCTGTGATGCTGCAGTGCTAACTTCTCAGCAGATAAAGATGCTGATACTGAAGACTTCAATGATGAAGAATGAGTTTGATGAGAATATAATTATTGATGAGTAGACTCTGAAGTTCTCTTCTTTTTACTTTTTCAGCAGGCTGTAACCTCATTAGAATAGCAGCAGTCTGTGAGTTGATAATATTAATCTTTGTTAATATCAAATATTTCTTTCTTTTCTTATTAACTGCTTCAGGAATTTTACACTTGTATAGTCTCATTAAACTTCTAAAAAACCCTTGGAGAGAAAATAGAAGAAGAGTATTACAGAGCTCATAAGACACTGACTCATCACTGCAAGATCATCTCTAAAAAACTCTTTGAAAAAAATGAGAAGTATTAAGTGATATTTCTTACTCAATGTTTCTGACATGTAACAGAGTGATCTCTACTAGCTGTTTTTACCTCAAAAGTCTGAGATAAAGTCAAGAGTAGTGATCTATGAAAGAAAGAGATCAAGATATCAATTTAATCTAAGATTTGATATCATGTCTGACTCTGATATTTTAGTGGGTGACATTATAGATAAAGAAAATGAGTTTGATACTATACAGCTTATAAATATCTATAATGAAAAGTCATTGAAGGAATATAACAATATCTGGACAATTGATAGAGGATTTCTGAACATTACTTCATCAAGAAACTCTATAATTGTAGAAGACTTCAATGCACATCATCCCTGATGAAATTCAGAATGCAAGAGAGCAGTGAGAGCTGATAATCTGGTTGAATGAACCTTTGAGCATTCAATAGATTTGGTTAATAAGTCTGATCAACAAACATTCTTTAGAAAAGGCATGAAACAGAAGTCTATTATAGATCTAACCTTCATGTCACAAAATCTAATGAAAAGAAGACTTGTAAACTGATTTATTAATTCAAATAAGACATCAGAATCAGGTCATGAGATTATTCAATTTAATATTGAACTGAGTGAAAAACAAATGAGTGAAAATCCTCTTCTCTCTAATCAGTATAACTTTGAAAAAGCTGATTGGAAAGCAGTTGAAGAAAGCATAAAACTGTTAAAATCTGAAAGACAGAATAAGCTATATTGAAATTCTGGTCAAGATATCTCAAATGAAATGCTTGAGAATAGAGTGAAGCTTATTACATCTATTATTCTAACAAGTGTTAGAGATAATATTTCAAAGAGAAAATCTTCTGAGTATTCAAAATCTTGATGGAATGAGAATATCTCATCTAAAAGGAAAGAATTAGCTACTGCTAGAAGAGATTGAAAGAATGATGTAATATCTGATGAAGAGTTCAAAGCTGTCAGAAATGAATATTTTTCAGATATTAAAAGAGCTAAAACAGACTGCTGGAATAAATTTCTTGAAGAAGCACAAGAGAAGGAAGTTTTTAAAGCTTTTAACTATACTAAAACAAGAAGTGTAGCAAAACTTCCAGCCTTAGAATATGAGTTTCAGAATGAATCATATACAGCAAACTCTTTTGAGGAAAAATGTCAAGCTTTCATGAGAATTCTCTTTCAGAACTCATCAGATTCAGATTCAGATTCAGAGGAAGAGAATATATCACTTCTCAACTACATTGATGAAAATGACTGGGAATGGCCTGATCTTACACAAGATGAATTAGAGTCAGCTATCTTCTCAAGTTCTGTTAAAACTGCTGCAGGTCCTGATTCAATTAATCACTTGATTATTCAAAATACATATTCCTACTTAAAGAATGAATATTTTGAGCTCTTTTTCAATCTCTTGAAAAATGGATATCATTCTGAATGCTGAAGAGAAGTCACTGAAGTGATTCTTGCAACACCTAATAGAAAAACTTCAATTCCTAAGTCATATAGAGTAATATCTCTATTGAACTGTCTAGAAAAGGTTTTAGAAAAGATAATAGCTACTCAACTATCTTTTATAAGCTCTATAGATAATTCTCTTTTATTCAGTGAATAAATGAGAGATAGAAAACAGTGTTCTGCAATTGACACTGTTCTCTCAGTTGTTCATGATATTTAAATAGCAAAGCATGAGAGTCTAGTCTCAACTGCAGTTTTTATTGATATAAAAGAAGCATTTGATCATGTTTCAAAGTCAAAGTTAATTCAGACATTGAAGATATTAAAACTGCCACTTTCTCTAATAAAATGAGTTAACTGTTTTATATCTAAAAGAAGTATACAACTCTTCTTTGATGGAATGAAATAAGACAAGACTGAGATAAAAATAGAAGTATCACAGAGATCTTCAATCTCACTCATTTTATTTGCAATATACACTGCACATCTATTCAAAAATAGAAATATGAGAATAGTGCAATCTCTGAGTTATGTGGATGATATTGATCTAGTCTACAGCTCAAAAACTATCAAAGAGAATTTGAAAGTAATTGAAGAAGCTGTAAAGGAAATCTTTGTTAGAGCAGATATCAATCAAATTCAATTTGATATGAATAAAACTGAGTTCATTCATTTCTTTCCTGAATTCAATGAGAAAGAACTATCTCTAACTCTTTTAAATAGAGAGATTAAACTCAGTGTAAATGTCAAATGATTAGGAGTATGATTAAACTCCAAGTTGAATTTTAAATATCACATTCAACAAAGAACTGTCAAGGCAGAAAGACTATTGAACAACATAATCAGACTATCAAATACAGAGAGAGGTCTATCCTTCCAGGCTATGAGACAGTTATATATAGCCTGTATTACATCAGTAGCTGATTATGAAGTTCAAGTTTGATGGAATAATCAAGAGAATTTCACTGAACTCTTTCAAAGTCTGCAAAACAGAGCCTTGAGAAGAATTCTGAAAGCATTCAAATCATCTTCTATTAAAGCAATGAAAATTGCCACTTCAATTCCTTCTCCTGCTATTAGATTTGAAAATGCCTGTATGAACTATGCTCTGAGAGTTGTAAAGATGAGCTCAAATCATATAATCAGAGAAAGAGTCTCTTCTTCATTTTCATTAATTAACTCTGGAAATGAACTGGATTGAAATAGATTTCATGATTGAAATGAAAATAATTCTTCAAAGAAAATGCCTTCTCAACTGTACAGACTATGCTCTCTGATTAAAAATCAATTTTCTTCTTTAAATGTTGAAAAAGTTGATCATGAGAAGTTATCTTTCTGGAGAGAAAAGCTTGAATCTCTTATAGACTTACAAATAAGTGAACTATCAAAAGAGAAAGAATATGAACAGCATTTAAAGAGAATTTCTACAATCAATATAAAAGACTCTATTCTGATTTATTCAGATGACTCAAAAAATGAGAACTTGAATAGATTAGGCGCAGGCATTGCTTATACTGAAGATAATATCAATTTTATCTCAGATTTCTGAAATCTAGGCTCTGAATGTGAAGTCATTGATACTGAACTATTTGCAATAGTGAAAGCTTTCAAGCTCATTGAAATAAAATCTCATAAAAGAGAAAATTGTTTGAAAGAGGTATGGATATTCTCTGATAGTCAAGCTGCTTTAAAAAGACTTAGAAATAGTCAGATTCATAATGATCAAATGAATCTTGAACTGATCTTAAACTCTGTTTTGAAAATTCAAAAGAGAAGAATATCAAAGCTGATAATTCATCTGCACTGGGTTCCTGCTCATATGAATATTCATGGCAATGAATTGGCTGATTCAGCTGCAAAAAAGGGTGCAGAATTAAGCAGATCTATTCAAAAAATTGTGTCCTGGTCCTTTATAAAGAGAAAAATAAAAGAATCTTGTTTAGACAAGTGAAATGAAAGCTGGCAGAAACAAAAGAAGAGTATACATTATTCAAGATTTGAAACAAAACTCAAGTGGAAATCTTGTTCAATTAAATGTAAAAAGAAAATATTCTCATCTATAATACAGCTGAAACTAGGACATGGCTATTTCAAATCTTATATACAAAGATTTGATGATAGATTTGACTCAATAGAATGCTCATTCTGCAATACAAATGAGAATCCTGAGTATATTGTAATGCACTGTGCATTATACAATAGTCTCAGAGCCAGATTGAAAGAGAAGTATGATCTAAATCAATTAAATATGAGATTCTTATTCTCAACTGAGACAGGAATTAAATACTTAATAGACTTTCTATCAGAAACTCAAGCAGCTACAAGAAAATGGCTAAATTCAGAATTATCTGAATATGAAGAGGAGGAAATCAATCAGATATAGTCTGTTAAAACAGCTATATACTATCTTTTAATAATTTGTTTTGTTACAGTTTTTCTTTATTTTATCTTTTTCTTTCAATTTCTTTCTGTCTATC